TGAACTTGTGTTAGGCCAAGGCATATCTTGTAGCACAGAGTTTCAGGGAAATTTATTAAGCAACCCTACAAAAGCAGTGATAATTCACCTGAGGCTTTAGGTCTCCTGGGCTGTTCCATTTATCACTTTATGCTTATGAATGAAGCTGGTACAGCACCGATTGGCAGCAAAATTAACTCCAAACATGAACTACATGGGAACTTTCCAGAGCATGTTTCCATAAGTCTTCAGATTCTCTGCTAGTGAGAATTCCCAGACACTGTTTTGCAGGAGTTTATTTCAATTTTCATTCTCAACTATTATGATCATCACAGACACATCTGGTGTGTGGACTGGAGAGCTCACCTTCAGGAGGTTGATATACACCAGATATTCTACTCCCTTGTGGACTATGAAGCTCAATATAACTGTTCTGGAACTCAGTTAATTGTCAGCTCTAATACATATATTTCTTGCAGCTGGCCAAAAGCTATATTATTCAAGTGCTGAGAGCAATATGGTAGCTATGTGTTATATCAACAAAAAGGACATTCTTACTCAACAACTGTCAGCAGCCAGTGGCTCTGTGAGAGTGGTGCCTGGCTCTTGAAGTACACCTGATACCTCTACATCTGACACAAAGAACATTTGCTAGCAGGTTCAGGATTCAGACACAACAGAAGTTGTCACTGGAAAGACCATGGTGGATCTGCTGTTCAAAAATTTGGGTCATTTGTCCATAGACTGTCCTGCTGCTCAATGAGAAGAGACATATCCTTGGTTTTGCTTCAGAGCAGGGATGGATGAAGATTTGATCACAGATGCATTTCTGTTGGCTTGGAACAAAGGAATTCTTTACATCTTCCCACTGATTTCATTGATCCAATGAGTAATCAGAAGAATGCAACAAAACATAGTTCAAGTTGTACTGGCTGCTGCAGCAGGGGCCAGACAATATTGGTACAGAGATGAAGATCTCTTACAGGAGTCTCCATTTCTTTAAATGGTATTAACTGATTTTCTCTTTCAAGAAGACTCATCCTGCATCCTAATCCAGAGTTGCTTCACCTTGTGCTTTGGTTCACATAACAACGAGTAAATCTGCCCTCATGTGCTGTGGAAGTGCAGGAGATTCTGCTACTATCTAGAAATCTATTTACTCTGAAATGTTACACTTGGAAGTAGAAAAGGATTTTCCTCTATGGGTAGAGGAAAACAGTTCATCTCCTCTTGCAGCAACCATATAACTTATTTGGAGTATTTATTGCATTTAAAGTATCTCAGCTTTTCCTTGCTGACATCTCATGGTGACATCTCAACATATCCTCTGCCAGTGAAGGGTTCCCCATGTCAATTATCTCACCATCACAAGATTTCTGAAAAGAATTAATAATATTAATAAGCCTCTGACTACCAGATGCTGGGACTGAATGATAGGGGATGGATCACTTGATAATCACCCTGTTCATTTCCTTTGATGCATCTGGCATTGGCCACTGTTGGAAGACAGGTTACTGGGCTAGATGGTACATTGGTTTGACCCACTGTGGCCATTCTTGTGTTCTTAAATCTCCCTTCTAGTCATAGAATCCGTTCAATCACAGGGCTTTACTTTGGTATTGTAAAGTTGATAGACTCTCCTTCTCAAGCCTTGGGAATGTGCTCTTTGTTTCACATGTTATTAAAGACCGCATTTTTAATCACAAGTACATCTGCAATGAGTGAGTGAGTTGCAGGCTTTAATGGCTAGTCTTGATTTAATCTAATTTGTGTTCTTCTAAAAAAAATTTGTATCTGGGGAAAACTAGATTCAATAATCTAGATATAAGAGGACATTAACTTTTTATTTGGATGGGACTACAGCTTTGTCTAGATTAGGAAAAGTGCTTTTTTAAAGTTGTTACCTAAATCGAGTTGGCTAATATGATTTGAAACACTTAACATCTAGTGTTGACACCGTTTTTAATAATTTTACAACTGTGTTAAAGTAATAGTGGAAGAAAAAGAAATGCCCCATGCCCAAGTAGCAGAGGAAAAATGTGTATGATCTGTTAAAGATTTCAACAACCTTTTGGTGCTTATAACAGAAAAGGCAACTAGACTTCTGGAAGATGGAACAAAGCCAACTAGTATAGCATCTCCAGAATAAACTGCACCTCCATGGCTGCCTGTAACAAGCAAAAGACCGTATGACGCTGGCCTTTAATCTGACACCATCAGCTCCTAGGAGGTGGACGTCTACTCCTCTCACAGGAACATCCACTACCTCAAATAAGTGAGTCACAGGAATATTGAGAAGAGATTTACTCTACAAACCTAAAACATCATAAATACTTGATTTATCTAATCCTTCATTCCAAAAAAATCCCCAGAGATGCATGGGAGAAGCCATCACTCATTTCATCTGGAGAGACTTTATATTTAAATACACCATGAACACACACTTCCTTGTTGAATTTAAAATTGAGATTCTTTTTAATACTTTACTCTGTTTTCTTAAGGAATCTTTTGTGGCCCATGGATATGAAGGAAGCATACTGGAGATGGAAAAACCAAGATATCATAATGACTGAAATAAGAAAGCACAAATTCCTAATGTTTTCATGAGCTTTTTAGTCAGTCTAATGACATTAAGGTCGCATGGATTAACCAGCTTGATTTAAATAAATTCAAGAGGTGTATAAAGAAAAGTAAACAAATGCCAGTTATATTAATTCCTAATTATTAGTGATATTCAGAAATGCAAGTAGTATCAATGAGGATTGAGAAATAGAAACAGCTTACTCATTTTACTACAAAGTGGTCTTGTTCTACTATTGCTACCACAGACGATACATTACTCAGTATTTAGTTTTTGTTAAATTTATAATTTATTTAAGTGAGTTTCCATGTGAAAATATTAAATTGAAGGTATTGGGGGTGTAAAAAAGTAAAGTACTCTTGACATTTTGATCCATATGATTGCTCCCAGAAATGTTTTGCTCAGTGGTTCTGCCCTCTCCCTGACTGATAGCCATTTCAGACACAGCCCACCAGAATACCTATACTGATCATTCAGATTTTCCTCAGCTATCACTCACTCCATTTCTCCCCTCCTGGACTGTTGTGGAGCCACTGATTACCCCAATCTATCTCTACGTAGACCTTGATACTGTATCCATGCCATAATATCAAGGTGCCTCTGTAGTGTCAGGATCCCTAAAATCATTCACCAGCATCATAACTGCTATTTTTGGCATCTTGGAAATGTAATCATGGACTTAATCCTTGGGCAGAGTGTGGAGTTAAATGGCACTTCATTGTTGAGGAGGTATAATCTGTATTATCTTTCATGGCTCCAAAACCAGACAGTTTTCAGATAGCCTTCAGGCTCCTTGTAGACTCCTGAGCCAAGATTAGTCCCACAGTTAGTGAATCTCTATTCTCATCAATATTTGGAATCCATAGTGGGTTTTTTGACATTGCTGCAAATATGTCTCTTCAGATCTTAATACAATATCTTGAACACTCCATGACTTTCCCACTGTTAGATTGCTCTCCAGAATTTGACAGTGAATGAAAATTGGCAGTTTTAACTAGTGTGAGCTAACAGGCACTTGTACTAAAGCACTTCATTAGCAATTTTAGAAGCAGAAAATTAAACATACATAAAGTACCACTGGTATCCATAAATACACTAATGTAACATATATTCATGATTTAAATCAGGCATCTTTCATTCCTAGATTACAAATAGTTTGCCATTGATCCCCACTTTAGGTTTTCTGCACAAAGTATATATGACAGATCTAACTGCTCCATTGCATAAAGTTTTAAAAGCGGTAAGCTATCTCAGCACTTGAGGACACACATTTATTCATTGGCGAGGTACACTGACTAACATCATCAGTTTTCTTTCTAACCAACTTGTGAAGAATTCCATTTTGGAATTCCAGTATTGCCCTTAGGAAAATGTTTTTCTCAACTTTTAAATATTTTTCCAGATTTTACAGTCCTTTTATCATTAGTTCCTTGTGTGTAAACTATGTAGTTAATTAAAAAGTATTTTATTCTGTGAGAGAGCTCCATTTGAGCAGTCTCCAAGGCTATATTACTGTTTTTCTATATTACTTTCTTTTGGGTAGTTTTTCTTTCTTCTTGAGTCTAGGTAATTCCTTCTTTTGGGGGTAGGGGGAGAATACTAATGGTAGAGCTGCTCATGATATCATTTTTGAGACCTTTCCCAAAACTTCTAGTCAATAAGGTACAGTTTATGCAGAAAACCTTGAACAAGAATTTAGGGCAGAGTTATTTTCTTCCCAGGAGGCAAGATTTTGTTTCTAAAGCCTTAACCTTAAGAGGCTGGGCTGGACTGGTTCTTCAACACAGTTCTGAATTCAAGGAGATCCAAAACATTGCAGTTGAAAGGGGAGTACTGGAGAGCTCTTCAGAACATCAGCGCACTTTCCTTATGATGGAAAATGTTAATTCTACATTCTGAAATTTCTTGCTAACTGGGAAACTTCCCCAGAGCCAAGAATAGTGACAGTGTTTTTGAGAAATCTGCAAACTGAAGCACTAACCATATCCTGATTTGTTAAAGCACATCTAATGTTCAGTTGACAGTTAGATGTGACATCAAAGTCCATGGAACCTACTTCAACAAAACATTTCAATGTCTTGGGTTCTCTGGTTGCACTTAGCCATAAAAAGGGTTGCAGTGGTGCCATATTTTCTTGGTGTTCTGTGGATGCGTAAATACTAGAAAAATTCTAAAGTCCAGAGGTGTTTTCTGCATGCACAAGAACAAGGGAGCACTCTTCCATTCATAGGCAGCAGATCTACTTTATGCCTTCCCTTCATTTCCTTTGCTGCCCCCAAACAGTAAGAAACATCAGACAGGAGAAAGTCCTTTTCATTAGTAAAAAGAAAAGGAGTACTTGTGGCACCTTAGAGACTAACCAATTTATTTGAGCATAAGCTTTTGTGAGCTACAGCTCACTTTCACGAAAGCTTATGCTCAAATAAATTGGTTAGTCTCTAAGGTGCCACAAGTACTCCTTTTCTTTTTGCAAATACAGACTAACACGGCTGTTACTCTGAAACTTTTCATTAGTGTCTCTTTGCTAGATTTACTGGCCTTGGTTCTTCTTCAAGTGCTTGCTTATGTCCATTCCAAAGTAGATGTGAGCTAGCCCTGAGCACCACTGCCAGAAAGTTTTCCCTCAGTGGTATCCGTTGGGTTGGCTCTGCCCACTGGAGTTGCACGCTCGTAGCACTGGTATAAGGGTCATGCCAATCTACAGCCCCCCTCAGTTCCTTCTTACCACCTGTTATGGTCACTGGAACTGTCTCATCCTTGAGTTCTACAAGTACCCGCTCAGTGGATTTTTCCAAACTTCATTGTATATAATTTATTTCTTGTTCTTAGTAGTTAGTTAGCTTAGCGGAACTCTGATAGGCAGGGTTAGTCTCTGCCCAATAGTGGACCAGGCGTTGGCCTCTTAGTTTTAAGCCTCATGCCATAAGCCTGTGCCTGTGAGCTACCGCCATTCCAGCTGCCTTGTGAGCTTCCCCCAAGCACTTGTGCAGGAGTGTTGTAAGATCTCCAAAGACTTCAGGCCCTGCCAAAAAGGATAAAACACACTAAACTAAAATTTATTCTCTTGGAGCAGTGCTAAGATCTTCCTCAGAGCTGGGTCACTCAGTCTTGGTAGTGAGCACTTCAACCTCTGTAAGGAGCAACTTGGCTACTCTTTCGGATCCTTGGCACCGTTCTCCATCACCGACACTGAAAAGAGATGCTCCTTCCACTTCTCGAGAGCCTTGGCACTATCCACCATCCCTGATGCCATAGAAAGGCTCTCCAGCAAGAGAACCTTGGCACTGCTCTCCGTCACAATGCTGAGGAAAAAACAGAAGACAGACAGAGGTTAATCCCCAACCCTGAGACTGGAAGGCCAGGGAGACACTAGTAGAGCTGCGCAGCTCCAACACTCATGTGGTGCCATTGAGTCCGGCCCCAGAGTGGGTACTGTTGAGTCTGGCACCGATAGATTCACTGCCACTGGAGTTCCACTGCCCTGGCGGTACTGTTGACATCAGAGGCGTTTGCCATGGCAAGAGACTTACTCTCTGCCCCATCTGTGGCACCTTTGGGAAGGATCTGCGTGGCACGGAGGCCCCAATTGCCTTCAAAGGGGAAACTGGCCGTGATGGCCCATCCCCAGTCTCCTCTCTTCTGGCACCGGTTGGCACCACTCCTCCCTGGTCTTCAGGAAGGGAGTCTGAGATGGACTTATAGGCAGTCATATGGCTCCCACAGGAGCTGGTGCCCTCACTCCAGTTGGCACTATCCTGCCATGGACCCCAGCCAAGGCATCCCACCCATAACGTGGCCCCCAGGAAACTGGCAGATGCCTCCTCTTCTTCTCCTGATGAGGCTGTCACAGGAACAGATGTAATGCTCTCTCAGGATGATTATAAAATGATCAGGATCTCCTCAAGAGAATGGCTCAGAACCTGGGGATCCAGATAAAAGAGATCAGGGAGTGCTCCCATGCCTTGGTAGACAATCTGATGGCAACAGGCCTTTCGAAAGTGTCATTACCCCCTGAATGAGGCCATTACATAACCCATCAAGACATCGTGGCAGACCCCAGCGTCCCTTCAGCTGATCGCAAAGAAAACTGAAAAGAAGTACTTTGTCCCAGCTAAGGGTTATGAATTCTTACGTATGCATCCACTACTGGGCTCTTTGGATTGTGTCAGCAGCCAATGAGTGGGAACTACAGGGGCCAGCCCCCAAGGTCAAAGATGCCAAAATTTAGACCTTTTCAGTAGAAAGGTCGATTCAACACATAGCCTCCAGCTCAGGGTTGCAAACCAGCAGGTGGTACGGAGCAGGTATGATTTTAATCCTGGGACTCCATGTTGAAATGTAAAGAGTTGTTACCCCAGGAATCCAGACAAGAATTTGCAGCTCTTATGAATGAAGGAAAATCAGTGGCAAAGACATCCCTGAAAATAGCCTTGGATGCGGTGGACTTTGCAGCCCGATCTGTGGCCTCAGCAGTGGCAATGCATAGAAGCTTATGGCTTCAATCCTTGGTCCTGCTGCATGAGGTCCAACAGACCTTGCAGGACCTTCCTTCTGAGGGTATGTCACTCTTTTCTGAGCAGACAGTCTCTAAATTGCACAACCCGAAGATTTCGAGAGCCACCCTGAAGTCCTTAGGACTTTATACACTAGGGCCTGGTATACACTACGAGTTTGTCGGATTTAGCAGCATTAAATTGAATTAACCCTGCACCCGTCCACACAATGAAGCCATTTTTTCCGACATAAAGGGCTCTTAAAACCGATTTCTGTACTCCACCAACGAGGGGATTAGTGCTGAAATCGACATTGCCTTTTCAAATTAGGGTTAGTGTGGACGCAATTTGAAGGTATTGGCCTCCGGGAGCTATCCCACAGTGCACTGTTGTGACCGCTCTGGACAGTACTCTGAACTCGGATGCACTGGCCAGGCGTACAGGAAAAGCCCCGGGAACTTTTTGAATCTCATTTCCTGATTGGTCAGGCGAGCTCATCAGCACAGGTGACCAGGCAGTCCCAGAATCGAAAAAGAGCTCCAGCATGGACCGAACGGGAGGTACTGGGTCTGATCGCTGTATGGGGAGAGGAATCCATGCTATCAGAACTACGTTCCAAAAGACAAAATGCCAAAACATTTCAAAAAATCTCCGAGGCCATGAGGGACAGAGGCTACAGCAAGGATGCAACACAGCGCCGGTGAAACTTAAGGAGCTCAGACAAGCGTACCAGAAAACCAAAGAATCAAATGGATGCTCCGGGACAGAGCCCCAGACATGCTGCTTCTATGCTGAGCTGCATGCAATTCTAGGGGGGGCTGCCACCACTACCCCACCCCTGTCTGTGGTCTCCGATGATGGGGTACTCTTCGCCATACCTGAGGATTTTGCGGATGGGGAAGATGAGGAGGAGGATGAGCTTGAGGAGAGCACACAACACACCGGTTCTCCCCGACATACAGGATCTTTTTATCACCCTGACTGAAGTACCCTCCCAACCCAACAAAGCCGGAGAAGGGACCTCTGGTGAGTGTACCTTTTAAAATATAATACATGTTATAAAAGCAAGCGTTTTTTAATGATTAAGTAGCCTTGAAGACTTGGGATGCATTCGTGGCCAGTACAGCTACTGGAAAAGTCTGTTATCGTGTCTGGGGATGGAGTGGAAATCCTCCAGGGACATCTCCTTGAAGCTCTCCTGGAGGTACTCTAAAAGCCTTTGCAGAAGTTTTCTGGGGAGAGCAGCCTTATTCCATCCTCCATGGTAGGACACTTTACCACACCATGCTAGTAGCAAGTAATCTGATATCATTGCATGACAAAGCCTGGCAACATATGGTCCCAGTGTTTGCTGGCATTCAAGCAACATCCGTTCTTTATCTCTCTGTGTTATCCTCAGGAGAGTGATATCGTTCATGGTAACCTGGTTGAAGTAGGGGAATTTAATTAAGGGGACATTCAGAAGTGGCCATTCCTACTGGGCTGTTTGCCTGTGGCTGAAAAGAAATCCTCTCCGCAGTTAGCCACACAGAGGGAGGGGGAGGGGGCATAGGCACTGAGCTGTTCGCGTTTGGCTAGCAGGGATCTTCCCTGATACCAGACACGTGGTGGGGTGAGGGGTAAAGCAATCATCCCATAGAATTAGATTGTGGGGGGTTAGTTTGGTTTCTGCTGCTGCACGTTAACAGGAAAACCGCAGCACTAAATGGCCTACTCAGCATGCTTTGCTTGGTATGGGAGAGGAGGGCGCTGCTGTTATGAAGGTTACAGAAGCCAAAAGACTATGGCTTACCATGGCCGCCTGCAAGCTGAATTCTGTTGCCCGGCACTGTGTGTGTGATCTATAACACCAAAGCTTCAGGCACTCAATATAAGATGCAAAATGCGACCTTGTACCAAAATCACATGTGTTATATAATGTGAATAGTGTTGTTCACCGTGAAAGAATATAGCCATTGTTCTGTAAAATGTATTTTTTTAAATACTTTGCTCCCTTTTTTTCCTTCAGCAGCTGCAAATGTTTCAAGCCTCCCTCCTCCGTCCCAAACGCTATCTCAGATAAGGTGGCGAAAAAAATGCACGTGCAATGAAGTGTTCTCTGAGCTCGTGCAGTTGTCCGGCACTGACAGAGCTCAGCAGAATGTGTGGAGGGACACAATAGCAGAGTACAGGAAAGTGGCCTATGAACGTGAGGAAAGGTGGCAGCAGGAAGATCAGAGGAGGCATGAGGCAACACTGGGGCTACTGCGGGATCAAACGGACATGCTCCAGCATCTGGTGGAGGTTCATGAATGGCAGCAGGATCACAAACTGCCGCTGCAGCCCCTGTTAAACCGCCCTCCCTTCTCCCCAAGTTCCATAACCTCCTCATCCAGACGCCCAAGAACGCGGGGTGGGGGGAGGCTCCGGGCACCCAACCGCTCCACCCCAGTGGACAGCCCAAGCAACAGAAGGCTGTCATTCAACGAGTTTTGAAGTGGCCTTTTCCTTCCCTCCTTCCCTCCTCCCACACCCCACCTGGGCTACCTTGTGAGTTATCTCCCTATTTGTATAATCAATTAATAAAGAATACATGTTTTTTAAATGATAGTGACTTTATTTCCTTTGCAAGCAAGCTGTGATCGAAGGAGGGAGGGCGGGTGGCTTACAGGGAATTTAGAGTCAACCAAGGGGGCGCGTTTCTTTCTCCTTGATGAAAACAGAAGTGTCACACAGTACCCTGGCCAGTCATGAAACTGGATTTCAAAGCTTCTCTGATGCACAGCGCTTCCTGCTGTGCTCTTCTAACCGCCCTGGTGTCTGTCTGCGTGTATTCAGTGGCCAGGCGATTTGCCTTAACCTCCCACCCTGCCATAAACGTCTTCCCCCTTACTCTCACAGAGATTGTGGAGCACACAGCAAGCAGCAATAACAATGGGAATATTGGTTTCACTGAGGTCTGAGCAAGTCAGAAAAACTGTGCCAGTGACCCTTTAAACGTCCCAATGCACACTCTACCACCATTCTGCACTTGCTAAGCCTATAGTTGAACAGCTCCTTACTACTGTCCAGGGTGCCTGCGTATGGCTTCATGAGCCAGGGCATTAAGGGGTATGCTAGGTCCCCACGGATAACTATTTGCATTTCAACATCCCCAACGGTTATTTTCTGGTCTGAGAAGTAAATCCCTTCCTGCAGCCATTTAAACAGACCAGAGTTCCTCAAGATGGAAGCGTCATGCACCTTTCCCGGCCATCCCACGTTGATGTTGGTGAAACGTCCCTTGTGATCCACCGGTGCTTGCAGCACTATTGAAAAGTACCCCTTGTGGTTTATGTACTGGCTGCCCTGGTGGTCCGGTCCGAAGATACGGATATGCGTTCCGTCTGTAGCCCCACCACAGTTAGGGAATCCCATTGCAGCAAAGCCATCTAGTATGACCTGCACATTTCCCAGAGTCACTACCTTTGATAGCAGCAGCTCAATGTTTGCGTTGGCTACTTGCATCACAGCAACCCCCACAGTAGATTTGCCCACTCCAAATTGATTCCCGACTGATGGATAGCTGTCTGGCATTGCAAGCTTCCATAGGGCTATTGCCGCTCACTTGTGAACTATGAGGGCTGCTCTCATCTTGGTATTCTTGTGCTTCAAGGCAGGGGAAAGCAAGTCCCAAAGTTCCATGGAAGTGCCCTTATGCATGTGAAAGTTTCAGATCCACTGGGAATCATCCCAAACCTGCAACACTATGTGGTCCCACCACTCTGCTTGTTTCCCGGGCCCAGAATCGGTGTTCCACGGCATGAGCCTGCCCCAGTAACACCATCATCTCCAAATTACCGGGGACCGCAGTTTTAGAGTAATCTGTGTTCATTTCCTCATCACCGCGCTGCTGTCACCTCCTCGCCTGGTTTTTCAGGTGCTGGTTCTGCATAAACTGCACGATAATGCACGAGGTGTTTATAATGGTCATAATTGCTGCGGTGAGCTGAACGGGCTCCATGCTTGCCGTGCTCTGGCATCTGCTTGGGCAATCCAGGGAAAAGGGCGCGAAATGATTTTCTGCTGTTGCTTTCATGGAGGGAGGGTTGACTGACAACATTTACCCATAACCACCTGTGACAAATTTTTGGCCCCATTAGGCATTGGGAGCTCAGCCCAGAATTCCAATGGGCAGCGGCGACTGTGGGAACTGTGGGATAGCTACCCACAGTGCACCGCTCGGAATGTTGACGCTTGCCTCGGTATTGTGGACGCACACCACCGAATTAACGCTGAATTAATGTGCTTAGTGTGGATGCATGCACTCGACTTTATACACTCTGTTCCCAAAACCCGACTTCTGTAACATTGGAGTACTTTTGTGGTGTAGAAATGGCCGAGCATCCAGGAGGAAACATTATAAGAACACTTACTTCCATATCTCAATCTTTCAGGGACACAGAGGATTCCTCAGGTTCATCATGCACCATGTGCACTATCAATTTGTGGTTCTCCTGTTCAGCCTGTCACTGGCCCCTTGGGTGTCATGCAGTGTATGACAGTCGTCACAGCCTTCTTGAGAAGACAAAGGGATTCAGGTCTACCCTTACCTTGATGACTGACTTCTGGACAGAGGTTGGATCAAGGTCCAGGTGGAGTCTGATATAAAGTTAATCCAGACAACATTCCAGGACTTGAGCCTGCTGATAAATGTGCAGAAGTCTGTCCTCTCCCAGGGGTGAAAGTGGGCCGGTATGGTGTACCGGTAAGAAGCCGGTACTGGCCCCCCCCCCCCCCCGCACTCCCGTTGGCGGCCCTGGGGGAGGTAATATGGGCAACAACATTAAAGCGCTGCCCCCCCCCCCCCCACACACACACTCCTAGACCTCTCTGTGGAGACACCAGTTCTATTTCTGTAGCCAGACCTGATCTCCCAGGACCACAGCTGCCTGCCTTGAGTCCCTTCATCTGACAGCCTGGAAGCTCCATGGCGGAACCCCACAGAACTAGCATGCTCAGGACACATTTGTTAGGTATTTCTAGAAAGCAGAAAGCCGTCCACCAAAGCTACTTATCTGGCAAAGTGAAAAAGGTTCTCAATCTGGTGTATCGCAGAAGGGTGTCTCACTTATGCAGTCCACAATACCATTTATTTTGGACACCTTACTACACCTGAAACAAGTTCTAACTGTTTCATCTCCTAGGATTCACCTGGCCTCAATCTCAGCTTTTCCCCCATGGGTGAATGGCCATTCCGTGTTCTCAAACACCATAGTAATTGGTTTCTTAAAGACCTTGAGGGATTGTACCCCCAGGTATGGCAACCAGTCTCTCCCTGGGACCTCAACCTGGTATTGTCAAAACTGACAGGACTTCCATTTGAGCTGCTGGCAACATATTGTCTGCTCTACCTGTCCTGGAAGGTGACCTTCCTGGTGGCCATTATGTCTGCCAGAAGGGTCTCAGAGATCCAGGCCCTCACTTCAGAACCACCATATTCTTCAGAACCATGGTATCCTTCAAGGAGAAGGTCCAATTGCGTCCTCATCCAGCTTTCCTTCCAAAGGTGGTTTCACAGTTCCATATAAGTCAGGATATTTTCCTACTGGTCTTCTATCCAAAACCACATGTCAACAGAGAAGAACAGAGACTGCACTCGCTAGACGTCAGATGTCACTGGCTTTCTACATAGAAAGTACTAAGCCATTTCGGAAAACTACTCAGCTATTCATGGCCGTTGCAGACAGAATGGAAGGTCTTTCCATCTCAGCCCAGAGAAATTCATCATGGATCATATCCTGCATCTGCACATGCTATGACCTGGCAAAGGTCCCTGCTCCTCCTCCTGCCCTGATAGCACATTCCACAAGGGCCCAAGCATCTTCGGCAGCATTCATAGCACAAGTTGTTCTCCAGGACATTTGTAGAGCAGCAATGTGGTCATCAGTTCACACTTTTGCATCTCACTACACCGTCACCAAGCAGGCTAGAGACAATGCTGTATTTGGCCAAGCGGTGTTGCAATCAACATGTCAGACTCTGAACCCTCCACCTGCACCTGCTTAGGAGTCACCTACATTGGAATGCACAAGAGCAAGCACGCAAAAAAGAAAAAAATAGTTACTAACCTTTCCGTAACTTGTTCTTCGAGATGTATTGCTCTTGGCTATTCCAAGACCTTCCTTCCTACACCTGTGTCAGGGTTGGCCGGCAAGAAGGAAATGAGGGAGCTGTAGATTGGCAGGACCCTTTATGCTGGGGCTATGACTGCGCAACTCCAGGGGGAACCAGAGCTGACATGCTGGATAATACTGAGAGAAAACTTTCTGGCGGCTATGCTCCGGGTGAGCATGCACCTTCATTGGAATGGACATAAGTAGTGTATCTCAAAGTACAAGAGTTACAGAAAGCTTGGTAACCATTTTTTCTCAGACCTCATTATATTGTCTTTTCAATCACTTCTGCATATTCCCATAAAAAAAATCTGTTGACATAAAGAGCCCAAAAATACTCAGTCAGGGAAGCTCCAGTAAACATCTTAGAAGTTGGTAGACGATGACTTTCATTAGCAGTATTCAATATTCTTGATCACAGAGAGAGAAAAACCTACAACTTCTGAATATGCATGGATAAGATGCAGATTTAAATAGTGGGGCCTAGCAACAAGATAAAACCATTTTTTTCAGGATGGATTTGCCCTGCCACAAATGTTTCTTGTAAACGTGTTTCAGCCGTATATGGATATATTCATTATGGGACTGAGGATAGTATGCCAAGAATAAATTTCACTCTTACATCAAACATTTCAAATTGTTTTTTCTTCTCTAAGATATCAGTTTCCTTTATAGTAATGAAATTTCAGCTGTTATGTCTCACTGCATATTATAGAAGAGCTAAAATGCTATTTTAAAATGTTCAGTGTTTCCATATATGCAGTATTGCAGCTTCTACTCATCCACAGCAAGTAAATTACTTGAGCAGTTGAGTAGAATCTGGTGCTTAATCTGTAGACTGTGCTGCCAACTCCTCTAAGAGCTGCCTTTAGTAGTCCTTTCAAAATGCAGTCATCTGTCCTCTTCTTACTGTTTCATTCTCTTCCTAGAGCTCTGCTTCCGGAATATAGGTGAGGATAGCTCAAGGCTGTAAAGAGCTGGAGGAGGAGATCCAAGAAGCCTTCTTCCATAAAAGCATGTTCTCTCTTCTTCCTTCCTTCCGCTTACTCACACAATCATCACATCATCTCACTTTCTCCTCTCCAGATAACTAGCCCAGACAGTACTTTCCATCTCCCACTACAAAGTAGGCTACATTTGCAAAATTTACACAAATCTTACAAACACAGACTGGAATAGTAGGTATTTCCTAGTCTAGTATGTTTTTGCAAGGCTGCATTAATATTGTAGTCAGGTAGTTCTTTCAGATAAAAAATAAATATTATGTAGTCACATCTTGTTATAGATCAGGATAAACTTTCTCTGGGAGTGTTTCATAAAAGGTTTATGAATGATATTGTAAGTATTCTGGTGAATGAAGATAATTTTGTGGTTTCATTCTGCAGTCCGTATAGACTCGAAATGTTGATTTCATTAAGTAGGAAGTTAAACACAATAAAGAGCTACAGAA